GCAGCCGCGATCGGCAGCGGCAACTGGGGGGGGGAGGGGAGGGGAAGGCCGTGATCGGCGGTGGCAGTTCAGCGGCAGGTCGTTCGCTCCTAGAGGGAGTGAGGGACCTGCTGCCCCCGAATTGCCGCAGGTGCTGTCCCTCTCCCTTGGCCGCCCCAAGCACCTGCTTGTTAAGCTGGTGCCTGGAGCTGGCCCTGCTTCTAGGAAGCTGGAGGCATTCAGCTCTGTTGCTGGACCTTTCCATCCTGATCATCTGTTCCTACCCATACAAGAATTCCAGAATCAAGTTTTATTTATGGGGAAAAGACTAATGATAACACTAATACAGAATTGATCAGCAAAACTCCTGTTTTTGTGGTTTAATTTCCAGTATGGTTAATGACACAAAGCAGAGACACAAATTATTGTAATCATCTGTCTTTAGGAGAATTGAGTTTCTTGCGTCTTCTCTGATACCTGGAAGAAAAAAGAATTGCAGTGATAATTTGGAACGTATTCTTGGATTTTTCCTGTCAGGATTTGTTTGTAACCAGTAGTCTACAGCCTACATATTAGTAGTGCTATAAAAAGATACACAAGCTGATCAACACATTTGTCTCCTGTTCACAAGGTGTTACCTACATAAATAACACTGCCCCTTCTACTGCTGCATGAACAAGTACACAATACAACCAACTTGAAAATTCACATCTGAATCTTGTACCTACTTTAGTTACAACCATCATGACCAAGATTATTAAAAGCAATTGGCAAATAAAACTTCAGTTTTTCCAAGTTTATTTATTCTACGCACGTGACAGCACTTTGGATAAAATTCATTTCACTAGACGGTCAGATAGCTTTTCCCTTGCTGAAAAGGGTCCTTAAAACTCAAGAAAATAAAAAATGACCTGATCCTTCATAAGGATCTGCTCATATGACTCCATCAATGACTCCCTCCCACTTTCTAAACGCATTTAAAACAAAACAAACTCAGAACATCCTTTTAAAAAAAAAAAAAAGGTATGGCCTAACGGGTATTTTTTAAATAGTCAATTTCACTAAAAATTCAAGTGGACAGTGTCCTTTCAACTAAAACTAGCACTACACTAAATCAGAAGAAGATATCCCTGATTTCATATACAAGAAAATGAAATTTTGTTGCTTATTGCGAAAGAGCAGAGTTTTTACAAGTTTCTACAATCAATTCTTCCTCATCTAATCCCATATGCTCTTTCTTATATAACGGCAGTCATTCAGGGAAGAATTTGGACCAGCTCTTCAGTTCTCTGTTAATTTCAGCCAACTTAAAGTTTTATGAAGCCACTTTAGAAAGGACTCTCAACAGAAGCTAAAACAGACTTTGTTTCAACTGGCACAGCTGAACACAGATAGTGCTTAAAGTGGAAGTAACTTGATCAGGAGTGCTTCCTCCTCACAAATCTTATCTTTTAAGAGACTGCAAATATAAGAGCTGACAATGCTTCCCTATCACAGGCCCTTTAAGACAAAGGAGCATCCACGGTTTTTCACAGTAACTTAAGACTCTAAAAGCAACTGCTACTAGGAAGGATTCTAGAAAGTTATCACTGGAGGAGGTAAGTATTCAAAAAGGGTAGATAATGCTGAGAATTTTAATTTCCCAAAGGCTATAAGTCTCCGAAAAGAAAATAATTTGACCTCAGTTCTCCCACTTTGGTCAGTAACTAAGGTCTTGTCTACACTACGGACATATTACCAAATTTATCAGCGTTGCTGATATTGGTGTAGCTCCACTGTTGTTCGGAATGTTGGAAGCCCTAGTGTAGACTGTCACTGGTAAGCACTGTGTCATCTAACCCTGCTCAGAGCAGGTCTAATCGACAACAGAGATATTAGGCAGAAACTAATGTTCTTGGTCAAATGTACTTTACATAATAGATTGGTTTCACAGTAAGACATTAACGAAGAATACAAGAATTATCATCTAATCAATCAGATGAAGAAAAATAATCTCCTTTGACATTACTATACAATACCCTTTTTGGTGCAATTCTAAGACCGTATCGCCAGTGAAAATTCCTTAAGGAATTTATCCCTATGTAAAATTAAGTGTTATGTAAAATACTTAATAGTTTGATGCTAACATTATTATGTCATACCTAATGAGTTACCGTAGGAGTGAATTTAGCCCATGTTATTTATTCCTCTTTCCCTTCAACCCCCAAAGGACAAATACTTCAGAAAAGACACTTACTGTCCCACAGGGTACCAGCGATGTTTTGTTGTATAAAACATTTTGCTGAGCTCCTCAAATGTAGGACCTTTGCTATTCTTTAGCTCCTTCACTTCCAATCTAGATTTCAGTACTTGATCATGTGTTTCTTCTTTGTTATCCACTGGATCTGGTCGAGGTATGGGCTACAATATCATCAGTAATGAGCACATTACTTTAGTAAGCTTTTAGTATTTTTTAACTCTAATTAAAACATTTAACCACTTCCCTGAACTGTTCACAATCTATCACTGCAGTATTTTACTACTGCACAAGAATTAGAAAGTGAAACTGTCTCTAAACAAAAAGTCTATTTAGTCTGTTTTATCTTATCCAAGTTGAATAAGTGCAAGGAATACAAAGGGCACAAATGATGTAAAGACAACTATCAAAATCTAAGGTTTTAGGCTCCTATAGACTGCCAGATTTGCTTTGATTAAAATCAATCTACTCTGTGCCTGTCCTACTCTGGTTGTAAGTCTTTCCCAGAATTGTATCCCCCATGCCTACAGGGGAATCTGTCTGCATTCCCTGCAGGTGAATCTCTCCTGTGGACTCTATAGCACAGAGAGATGAAGTGATCACACAGGAGTGAGTGGCAGTCAGGAGGAAAACCCAGCTTTGTTCATTCAGGTTCATATACTGTACCCATCTCAATAGTACATTTTCCCTGCTCCCAACAACAGTTTGAACTACCTCTAGATCAGAGGTGGGCAAACTACTGCCCACGGGACCCTCCTACCCGGCCCCTGAGCTCCTGCCCCGGGAGGCTAGCACCCAGCCCCTCCCTTGCTATTCCCCCTCCCCCGCAGCCACAGCTCGCTCTGCTGCCGTCCCAATGCTCTGGGCAGCAGGGCTGCGAGCTCCTGGGGCAGCGCAGCTGCACAGCCAGGGCCTGACCCGGTGCTATGAGCTGCTCTGCAGCATGCCTGGCTCCAGCCGGGCGGCGCAGCTGCCTGTCCTAGTGCTCTGGGCGGTGTGGCTGTGGCGCCACCAGCCACTGGTGCTCCAGGCAGCGCGGTAAGGGGGCAAGGGGGGTTGGATAGAGGGCAGGGGAGTTCAGGGGGCTGGGCAGGGCAGGGGTGTGGATAGGGGTCGGGGTAGTCAGAGGGCAGGGAACGGGGGGGTTGAATGGGGGTAGGGGTCCCGGGGGGGCAGTCAGGAATGAGAGGAGGGGTTGGATGGGGTTCTGGGGGCTGTCAGGGGACAGGGAATGGGAGGTTGGATGGGGCAGGAGTCCTGGGGGACTGTTGGGAGCGAGAAGCTGGGGGGGGTCGGATGGGGGCAGGGCTGGGCCACGCCTGGCTGTTTGGGGAGGCACAGCCTCCGCTAACCGGCACTCCATACAATTTTGGAAACCTTATGTGGCCCGCAGGCCAAAAATTTTGCCCACCCCTGCTCTAGATAGTAGCCAAATTCATATCACAATATTCTGGCCATGTTATCCAGTATACTGAGACACTTAAGGAGAGCTAAAAAAGGGATAGCCCAAAAGAACATTGTTAGCCAAATTAAAGATTGTCTGTGCTTTCAAGCAAACAGGAAACATAGTTGTGCAAATCTGTATATACCTTTGTGTGCTCATATGGAATTTCAACTGAAGGATGGTAGCAGACAATTGTCCTTCCATCTGATGTCATGGCAAGTTCCACTTTACTATAAATGATGAAAACATTATACAGATCAGTATATGCCCTTATTCCTATCAAGTCCACCCTCTTGCTCAGGTGAGAGCACTCTGGAAGAGACATGAGTCAGACTGGCTGACCAAGAAACGGGCGGAAAGTCTAGGGTATTACGTGCATAAGTTTGCTATCTAAAGTTGAAAAGACATCTTGAAAATTTTACTCACTAAGTGATTTAGCAGACTAAGAACCACTGACTTTCAATGGGACTTAGACTTCCGAGTCACTTAGACATCTCTGAAAATTGTACCCAGCACCAGGGTTAAGTGCATAAGATTTCCAGATAGTTTCCTTGTAGTATTTTGTATCTTGTTTGTTTTTTTGAAAATATTTAGAAACTAGGCTTAAAATGTCTACAAGATACCTAGAAGCCAGAAATAAAGCACGAAAGACAATGGCAACTAGCCCCCTCAATAAATTCCAGGGCCAATGCCCTACAAAAGAGTCCAGCACCTCTAATCCACTGGCCAGGAAAGGGAGCTGGGATTTCTACCAAGTGCTAGGCCCTACCAGTCAGCTTCTACCTAGTAAGCATGATAAATGTGAAGCTCCACCAAACTCATTCTGCTGGAAGAGATGAGGCTTGTCTCATCTTCCCTGGAGAGCCCGTTAGTGTCTGAGGTGAGAGGGGTCTACACTATTCTAAGGCTGAGGGGGGATATGATTGCTATCTTTAAATATATCAGAGGGATAAATACAAGGGAGGGAGAGGAATTATTCCAGCTTAGTACTAATGTGGACACGAGAACGAATGGATATAAACTGGCCGTGCAGAAGTTTAGGCTTGAAATTAGACGAAGGTTTCTGACCGTCAGAGAGGTGAAATATTGGAACGGCCTTCCGAGGGAAACGGTGGGGGCGAAGGACCTGTCTGGTTTTAAGATTAAGTTAGATAAGTTTATGGAGGGAATGGTTTAATGGAAAAACATGATTTTAGCCAAAGGAATACCGTGCCATTGCAGGTAAATAGTATAATGGCTAACAAGGGTCAGGCTGGAGACTCTTGCCTACATGCTCGGGGTTTTACTGATCGCCATATTTGGGGTCGGGAAGGAATTTTCCTCCAGGGTAGATTGGCAGAGGCCCTGGAGGTTTTTCGCCTTCCTCCACAGCATGGGGCGGGGATCGCGAGCAAGAGGGTTCTCTGCCAATTGAAGTCACTAAGCCACAGGATTTGGGGACTTCAACAGCAGAGTCAAGGGAAGGGGTAGGGACGGCTTTGTGGCCTGCAGCATGCAGGGGGTCAGACCAGATGATCATAATGGTCCCTTCTGACCTTAAAGTCTATGAGTCTATGAACCTCCTTTCCCCACCTTTTTTAGATTTCTACCCAGTAAAGAACTCCAGTAACTGATTATGTTGCTACTCAACTTTCCCAAGCAGCTGCATGGAAGTGCCAGTACTTTTGTTTAAGTACTGAAAAGCAGCCATGCTCTTTAATTTCACCGGGCCTCTTGACAAACCTATGAATATCAGCAGAGGCACAACAGCCCTTTGTCTATAGAAGACAACACTGCATTGATTTTTCACTTAATTCACATTTGGAACGTTAGTTTCACAAGCCTTATGTCTAGAAACAAGGCTCTTCAGAAAATGGCTAGATCAATCCAAAACTTGCAAAAGGAATAATTGGCATAAAGAAAACAGCAAGACTAACAGCAGATAGGGCAATTACTCCAATATTTATCCCTGAAGCTATGGGTCAAATGAAGTCCATAGTTGGTCAAAATAGATTTGATTGTGTACCAGTTATAGTCTTCTGGAAGGACTGAATATGTAGATTTATGGCGAGCACAATGCACTGCTCCATCTGCAAAGATGAGAAAAAACATCAGTGAGAACAAATGAAACTGCAACAAAATTAACTTTACACCTGCATTCCGTTATCTCAAACATGAGTGAGCTCAACCAGAAATGCACATTCAGTTTAAGTTTAACGAATCCATTTAAAAAGTGTCTTGAATATCATGCCAATATTTCAATCCTATTATAATACATATTTCTAGAACTGCAACTGGCCCAGTACTTGGGTGCTATCCCGGGGTTATCCTTGTGGTACTCTAAGAAGTTGCAAAAAACCCATACCATACCAAACCAAGCACACTACTCCTAAAGTAATAGTTTCTTGCACAATGAAATAAAAACACTGCTATATTATAGGGTTGCATTACTTTTTTGCTTCTGTAGGCCAAACTCTGCACTCAATTAGAGAAAGCCCCATATTAAGCTGCTGCCTGCTTCAAGTGTGTGTACAGGAGTGATGACGGGACCATGAGGGAGGCAGAAATAGGGATTGGGGAGGTGGAGGTTACATTCCCCAGCCCCTGCTCATAGAGCTGCCTTGCCCTTTACCCTCTAGTTACTCAGCCTATGCCTCCTTCCTCTTCTCACCTGATCCCAGAGGTTGATCCCCTTGCCCAAAGCCCTGGCTGGGAATCAGTTCCCACAAACACAGGGCCTGCCTTTCTCCTTCCAGGCAATTTTTGCAGAGGTTGATCTGAAACCCTAGGGTTTGTTATAGACAGTCTCTGCCCTGCCCCCCCACTTTTAGTCCCTGATTTTTCCATCTCTACTTCCCCCATTCCTGGTCCCTGCTTCCTCATCACTCCCCACCACCACAACTCCCAACCCCCTGCCACTCCGCCCCGAGGTCCCTGCTCTCCCCTCCCACCCCACTATCTTCCAGTTCCTGCTGCTTCCCCCAACCCCACTCCTCCCTGCTCCATGTCCCTGTTTCTCCCTGACTCCCAAAACTCCTTCCTCTAAAACGCTTACTTTTCTTATACTCCAGGCTACGGACAATCTCCCCATGCAAGTTAAGATACTGCCTCTGATATGCAGCAGCAGGGGGCACCACAGAGATTCCTTTGCCTTGCAGTACTAGGCAGTCTGATTTTCCTGTAAAGCAGGCTGTCCTGGTTTTCCGATTTTCATCAAAATCAATAGGATTCTGCCCACTGATGCCTAGAACATTCCCTGAAATGTTGGAATTGATCAGATGCAGTGTTCACAAATTATCGCATTACATACAGACAAATAGAAATGCCAAGAAGTTATGTAGAACCTTGCTTTGCTGGGCTAATAGATGTATAGAATGAGAAATTATGAATACAAAGACTGTTATCCATGACAACATCCAATTCCAAAAATGCTTTCATGTTTCATAGAATTGCAGCATCTTCACTTTTCCCCGAAACTGTGTGGGGTTTTAGTTCAACAGTAATTCATGAGCTCATGCCTCATTGTTTCTGGTTCTGGCCAGATCACAGGGTAGTAAACTCATACATTTTATAGCTATCTTATAATGTACTCTTCCACTTGTGTGGGTTTGTTATTTTTAAATATTTGAGTTTCAGTGCGTCTCCACTTTGAAGATGATTTTATCAAGAAGTATGTGTAGTAGTAATCTGAACTTTAGATTTATGGGTTTTTTAAACTGACATTTTTCAGGGATTTATTAGGATGACATGCATATCTGTGTAAGAAATTAGGCTCATGAACGTCAAACTCATTACTGATATTTGAAAGTGATCATAAAAATAACTAGTCTGGGTACAGTTCTTCTAATGTTCCATTATTTTACTGTTTACTATAAGTATGGATATTGTTAAATATTAATACTCCATTGCTTATGGCAGATATGACACAAGTGTCTTACTTCCCACATATTTCACAAGAACAGGATTACATTCACAGGAAACAATAAGGAGTTTGGGAAGCAGAAAACCCAGAATCAGCACAACTGTCAAAACATTTTTCTTCCAACTTTCGCTGTCACATTTTAGAAGACGTGACATAGCTCATCTTCGACTTTATATGGAGATACTATAAGATTTCCTTGGCGGTGCTTACAACTCCAGATACCCAGCGCTTTTTCTTCCACATATTGCTATCTTCAACTAACACCTCCCCAAAAGCCAATCTGAAATACTGCAAAAATCAGGCAACATTGCATATTATCGCTTCTTGTTCAAGAGAAGGTAAACACGAGCCTTAGAAATCAAGTCTTCAAATCTCAGATGCCTCCTAATGTTAAAATGCTCTTTAAAGCTTGGTTAATGGAGCTAATCTATTTTAAAGTTCAACACTGGAAACTTCAAGGGCAACCAAGTCAAAACGTGACTTAGTAACACAGCACATAACTCCATAAATATCAAACTTTAACCAGGTGAAATATAAAGGTCACTTCTCTGCCTGTGTTACTGTAAACTTTGCTCAGAGCTAAGTACCAATGCAAGAGTCTTTTAAAAAAGAAAAAGAAAACCAGAAAATTTCTAAACATAGGATTTTCATAAAGCAGCACTATTTCTTACTCTGTACTGAGGCCTGCCTACTGAATGTTGCTACATGCATCCACATAGTATTGGACCACACAGCTCTTCTCAATGCTATTGCCATGGTCACAGGAGACAGAAAATTGGTGCTGGAGAAAGAAATATTCTGGACGCAAATGGTATCCTTTTTACTGCAGCACACACTTCTGAAGGAGCAGGTTTCATCACTGTTTAGGAGACAGAAGGGTTGACAATTAGATCTTGAATCTTTTATTAATAAACTCTGAAAGATATGACTTGCACTACACCTTATATATTGTTCAACAAGTGCTGGAAATATTTGTAATGAGTTAAGAATTAGCATCCACTTACTGAATAGTACTTCTGAGGGAATTCTGTACCAAAAAAAATAAATTCTGCGCACAATATTTTAAAATTCTGCATAATTTTATTTATCAAAATATTACAGTGATTATATTGTGTTATTTTGACAAATAAAATTATGCAGAATTTTAAAATTTTTAGGCACAGAATTTTTAATGCAGAATTCCCTGAAGAGTACATTACTTCTGTGTGGCACAATCTGGGTGTGGGCAGCTCAGTGGAGGGGTCCAGGTGTTTGTGGGGAGAGGGAGATCAGGATGCAAAGGGGCTCGTTGGGGGGGTTCTAGGTGCAGGGGGAATGGGACTCTGTAGGGGAGTCCAGGTGAAGTTAGTTAGGGCTCAGCTGGGGGGGGAGGTGTGGGGGCTCAGCAGGCAGTCTGGGTGCTGGGGGAGTTGGGGTCAGGATACAGCTGTTTAGGGGGCTCCCAATGCAGAGGGTGAGGCTCGGTGGGAGGATTCAGGGTGCAGGGGGGGGGAATAGGCTTGATGCGGAGGGAGTTGGAGGGAGCGCCAACGGGGAGCAGCTTCCTGTACTGTGACCCCTCTCCCCTGTGGTTAAGGAGCAATGGAGCCAGGAAGGGGACGAAGGGATCACTGTACGCGGCGCTGCTCCTCCATCTGCCTGACCACCCTGCACCTAACTCCACCCCACCCACCCACCCAGAACCCTCATCCCACTCTTCATGCAGACTCCTTCACCCCCCCAAGGTGTAGAGCTTCCTGCAGTCAGGGGAGATTTCTGGGGGTTGATTTGACCCAGCCCTGACTGCTCCGTGCAGAGGAGGGGGGAGAGAGACTTATCTGCGCTGCTAGGGAGGGGTTAGTGAGCACTGGTGCACTAACAGCAGAAGCTTTGCAGGAGAAGGCGCCTATAGTGAGTGTTCTACCCACTGTGCTAAAAGTTTTAAGGTGGATACCACCACCTCCTCCAACCACTTGACTTATCTTTCCTTCCCTTCATGAACTGCCCTGCAGTTTAGGCAGGAGATAGGCATCTGGATGCTTAGAGTAAGGAAGCACTGCGCATGCTCAAAAGGCAGAAAGTTAGGCACCTTGGGAACTTTTATCCTGAAAATGTAGGCACTGAGTGAGTTTAAGCACCTACAAGGTTCATTGGAAGTTTTAGCAATCACAGTGAAACCTAAAACTTGGACCTTTAAGTATCTCTGTGAATCTAGTCCTCAATCTCTATAATACACAGTGTATGGGCCTGGCTTCTTCAGATCTTGATAAGAACATCAGCATCCTTTTCAGAACACTTCAGAATCAGGGTTGTCAGCAAAACCACCCCTCACAGCAGACATGTATAGGATCTGGCACTGCTATCAAACGGATATATTTAAAACACTTCTCCTTGAGGCCTAATAGCTATGCCAATCAGGTGTGTAAAGAGGGAATGACCTGCCAGGTAGCTTGCCTATAATGAAAGCCATCCTATGCAACTTTATCAGAAACAAATGCAGAACATGTCTAGTAACTGCCACACCCCATTTCTGGATCAGGACATCTCTGACAGCACTGTTCAAATATGCTGCGACATAACATCACAATGTTAAGTGAGCTGAAAATATTTTTGTTGCAGCCTATGCAGACAGTGTTCTTGCATATCACACTAAGGACTCATTAATATTACCATCATAATGTAAGAGAGGTGTAAGATAATGCTGGGTTTGTACGTTAAATTTTCCTGGGAGCACATAGTTAATAAAGTTATGGTTTACAGCATGTGTGGTTAGCAAGCAGATAGAAGTGGAGATCAAAAAGAAATTTTTACAGTTTAAAGCACCAAACTGTAGATTCATTCTCATGGGACAAGAGTGCCACCACTTTGTGTACTCTGCTTACACAGGGGAGTGCCAACAACCTCTGCATGCATGGCAGGATCTACCATGACACTGTCAGGCCTTCATTGTCTTGAACAGCACATAGTGCAGAGAAGGACCATGGTCACCTTAAATTAACCTTGAACCATATAGTGAAACTTTGTCAGCACAAAACTGATACCTGTGAAATACTGTAAAGGCTTTTTACAAAGAGCCACACTCAGAAAAGTTAAGCTCCACTGCTTCCGCCTTCTCTTTGGTCTTCAAATAAAAAACAAAACTAAGTTACACTGGGACTATAAAAGCCTTTAAAAATATTCAAGACAGATCAAAGGATGGAAGATTAATATATCATGTTTTGGGGAAAGACTCCTGTAATCTTCTAGGTTGTCCTGTCATCAAAACTAAGGCCACTTTACTTATGAACAAGAGCATCCACACAGCGATTTAAGGAGCTGTAAATTATGTGCATTAACTTCACCCCTCTATTGTGTTCAGGTAGACAAGCCCTGATTAAGGGAAGGGAATAAGGGAATTTGAGGGAGGAAAAGCCACTGTTAATTCCTTTACATTAAAATGCTTCAACTGGTTTTCCATGACACCCATATAAATGGGAAGCTGCAGAAAATCAGATGCAAATACTTCTGATGCAGTATTCACCACACAATCAGCATGAGAGTTGCAAAGCCATGAACAATAATGGTGCATCTAATATACGAGTCAGCATTATAGTTTGTAACCTATGCTAAGACAGTGTGTTTTTACCATAGAGTAACTAACATGCATTAGCTATCTCATTGTAAATACATAGTGGACACAAGGCACTTCAGTTTCACCAAAAGACAAACTAGGTAAGGTCAGCACTAGGACCCCATCCAACCAATATAAAGGATTAAGGTCCCCTCAGTCTTTTTTCTCAAGACTAAACATGACCCAAAGGTTAAAAAAACTGGGTAAGTTTTCTAAACGTTTTATCATTATTGTTTCTCTCCTCTGGACTCTCTCCAGTTTATCCACATCTTTCCTGAAGTGTGGCACCCAGAAGTAGACACAATACTCCAGTTGGGGGTCTCATCTGGGCTGAGTAGAGCGGGACAATTACCTCCTGTATCTTACATATGACACACTTGTTAATAAACCCCAAAATGTTATTAACCTTTTTCACAAAGGCATCACATTGTTGATACATGTTCAATTCATGATCCACTACAATCCCCAGATCCTCTTCAGCAGTACTACCCTTTAACCGGTTATTCCCCATTTTGTAGTTGTGCATTTGAGGTTTCCTTCCTAAATGAGTACTTTGCACTTTTCTTTATTGAATTTCATCTGGTTGATTTTAGACCAATTCTGTCATTTGTCAAGGTCACTTGGAATTCTAATCCCGTCCACCAAAATGCTCGTTCCCCCTGCCCAGCTGGCAGCATCCACATATTTTATAAGCACATTCTCCACTTCCTTATCTATTTCATTAATGAAAAGCTAGACTAGTACAGGACCCAGAACTGAGCTATGTCCATGTACTTTGACAGCAAACCATTCATAGCAACTCTGAATATCTTTCAACCAGTTGTGCACCCACCGTATAGTAGTTTCGTGCAGACCACTAACATTTTGCTAGTTTGCTTATGAGACTATCGTACGGGACGGTCAAAAGCCTTAATACAATTAACTTATCACATCTAATGCTTCCCCCTTCCACTGGGTTTAGAGCGGTAAGCCACAAAACAGCAACGAGAACAGGTGTTTGACCCTCCGGGGTTCCCAGCCCCCCCACGATCCTGCCCCTCCCCCGGGAACAGCAGGGACCACGCTGGAATCCCAGTAAGAGGGAGTAAAAGCAAAGACGACGGCAGACATTATTGCGCATGCTCAGTTCGCAAGCTCATTAACTGTCGAACAGCAATTCGGTTTGGCGGCAGGAGCAGATTATGACGTTACGTCTCCGGCCGCTCACGCGCTGCTCAGCCTCCCGCCGCGGCCCATCATCGCCTTTCATCCCTCTGCGCCCCCCGCCGAGCCCACCAGTCACACAGCACCGCTGGAGCCCAGAGCCAGGCCGCGCCCGGCCGGTTCGGACCGACACCGATGGGGGAAGCAGCGGTTACCTGGCCCGGCCCAGAGAGTGGCGCCATCATCTTGTTCTGTGAGGCTCCACAGATTCAACTGAGAGATGTTCAATGAATCAATCAGTCTGTAGGTACTGGCCCAATGCCTTCCTCGCGATGCCCGGAAGCAGTGATGTATATTTCCTGTGACGTAGACACACCCTCAAAGCATGATGGGAAATGTAGTCCAAAGCAGTGTATAGGGCAAAATACAAACAGCTAGCGTCCAAACCTCCCGCACGAGGGGTCTCCTGCCAGGCCCAGCCCCGTCCACCACCAGCCAGGGGTGCCTGAGCCAGCCCCACCCCTCTCTCTTACCTGCCACCAGTGGGGGTGCAAGGCCAAGTCCAGCCCTGCCCATCACCAGCTTGGGATGCCAGCCTCGCCCACCTCCAGATAGGGGGTGCCAGGCCCAGCCTCACTCCTATGGGTGTCAGGCCCAGCCCCAGCCCCACCTCTCCCTCATGTGCCACGAGAGGTGCCAACCCTGTCCACCACTAGCCAGGAATGCCAGGCCCAGCCCTGCCCCTCTCTCTTGCATGCCACCAGCTTGGGGTGCCAGGCCCAGCCTCACTCCTATGGGTGTCAGGCCCAGCCCCAGCCCCACCTCTCCCTCATGTGCCACGAGAGGTGCCAACCCTGTCCACCACTAGCCAGGAATGCCAGGCCCAGCCCTGCCCCTCTCTCTTGCATGCCACCAGCTTGGGGTGCCAGGCCCAGCCTCACTCCTATGGGTGTCAGGCCCAGCCCCAGCCCCACCTCTCCCTCATGTGCCACGAGAGGTGCC